TGGCGGTGTTCCAGCAGCGGTGGTGAATGTAGCAGACGCCTGTTGTTCTGCAGGTCGCTCTGCCGTGTGACAGACCACGAAACCTTCAGCAGTCAGAAGTTGGGACGCCATGACGACAGCGACACTCGCGTTCGCTCGTGCATTTCGACAGCATTTCTACGACCAACCGCCAGGATCGTGACATCCGACAGCATGACTCTCCGGCTTCTGTGACGCCATTTGTTGAAACTTCAGGACCACTTTTAATGTATGGGCAGGATAGGACGTTAAACCATTCGGAGACGCGTTCCAGGCACCATAGTGTCAGATACCAGACTAGACGCACCGGATGGCGCAAAAGGCAGACCCTAGGCTTCCGAGCATGTTCGGCCGAGCAGCCAAGCCATTCCAGTAGTAATGGCATCGGGGCCACTGAGCCGTAGACGGGACTTACCACTCATTTACACTGGAAGCGGATTCGCGTTCGCAAAGCGGTTGCGAACGCGGTTGTATAAAGATCCAGTACGATTGCACGCGCACTCAATGACATCAAGTGCGCGTGCAATTGCACTGGATCTTTATACAACCGCGTTCGCATCCGCTTTGCGAACGCGGATCCGCTTCCAGTGTGAATGAGTGGTTAGAGCGTGCCGTAATCTTTACCTAAGTTACGTCTGACGACGTAAATATTGCGCGAATTTATTTTTTTTTCGTGGAAAGTCATTACAAACAATACGTGTCCCATCTATTCCTTCTTTAAAAATTATTTTTTAATGTGCTTCTTTTTTAAGGTGAAACGAAGCAAAGAGAGCAGTTAGCCTTGAACCCAATGCATGTTTCGTTATGTGGGTGTTCCATGACAGGTCGCTAGTGAATTCCAATATACTTTAGGACGAGCACGTGAAAATGGGGTGGCTGCACAGAGTATACGTTAAAGCGAGCATACTCTGCACGCCCGTAAATGAAATGAGTTGCGTTTAGAAGAGCTAATTGTAATTTGCCACTTCATGCACCAGTAACGTATTTGGTTAGGATCAGTTTGTAGAGATAAATGATAGTTATGGTTAGACACAACATCGTAAATGACGCAGTCATCTGCGAACAATCGAGTGCAGAACAATATATGAGCGGGGAGATCATTTACAAATACTAATAATAAAGATGTGGTTTAAGAACATTGCCTTCGTGGTCTCCGGATTTGTCAGGACAATGTGAAGGCGAGGAAACATTAATTGCGGTGCACTGAGTGTGACTTGTTAAAGATTCTGAATTCCGGGATGTTATGGCATTGGTGAAGGCGAAGTTGGTTTAGCTTAATCATGAGTTGCCTATGGGATACCTCCTCGAATACTTTAGAAAGATCAGTAAATATAGCATCAGTCTGTGCGATATTATCTAGGTTACTGTGTATTTCAAGAACAAGCTGAACCCAGTTGTGATTCACGAGAATAGAATTTTCGGATTCATGCGAATTGAAAACCATACTATTTTTTGTTTGCTTCATGGCGTTTTAATGTGTTATGTTATCAGGAAGTTTGCAGTGGGAACTAGTAAGAGAAATGTGACGATAGTAAGAGCATACATTTCGGTCACCTGATTTGTAATGGTAATGACTGAAGTAACTTATAGTTCATGAGAAGGTAATAAGAATACGAAGATTGTTTCAAGATATGTAATAAAAAATAAGTTTAGTTATATTTTGTGATGTTGAGTAGTTTGGAATTGATTTGCTTATCTTCCGAACTCGATGAGTGCCTTAACATTTATGTAGTGTTTATCATCTCTAAAGCGATTTCAATAAAACTTATAGAATAATCATGTAACTTGTTAACATTAGACTTGATGTTGCATCTGCCACAAAAACGGAGCTGAAGTATTGATTACGTTTGCTGGGACTTTGCTCGTCCGACAATGGTAAACCGCAATCACCACTTGTCGGCAGCTGAAGAACCGCTTCATGACGTAGCGCCCAATGTAACAGCCCGAGCACGCGAGACCAACAAATTAATATCGAAATACCAGCTTTACCGTGTTTCGAAGCTCCTGAAGTCCATGGAAATTAAATGTGCAACTACGCCGCTCCTACGTTTTGTGCAAACATGTGCAAAATGCTCCCTTTCAATTTTTAACACGCAGGTTTGCTCAAAGCACATACTCGCTGAACTGTTACATATACATCCCGTACAACAACTAGAACATCTGACTTGAGAATCTTCCAAACATCTAAAAAAATGTCTTCTTAGGAAACGAAATGTTATACATAGCACTGGATAAGGTACATTGCCGAGTGCACAGGGGCACGAATTGGCTTTCGAGCTGTAGCAGCTGCCTCCAAACACCGCGTCTCTTGAGGTTTTTTCTTTCTTTTTTTTTTGTCTAATTTTTGTGTTGGGAGATTAAAACGCCAAATAGCACCACCAAGGCCCATGTCAACGACGTTTAAACACATTTCATCGAAAACTGAGGAAATTTCACACTTTACTACAAAATCCACAGCAAATCTTGTTTTGTGAAGTATTTTGTGACACGGCAGGCACTCGTGTGCGTCGTGTGCAATCTCTTTCCTCTCTGTTGCCTCTTACTTTTAAACAGCGCAATTCTCGTTCCATAGCTTCAAAACTTTAGATAGATACTAATTTTTGTCGCTGACGTGTTACTGTGCACGTACGTACGTGTTGTTGTTGTTTTCGACCCTTTGACCGCTAGATTTTATGAGAGGAGCTTTCATTGTTACAGAAGAAAAAAATCCCTCTTTTGTTATTGAACTGCGGAAGGTGCAAGATACCTGCATCTCTTTACTGGCCATTGTTTGGTCGATCGTTGTACATACTTCTATATTTAATTTTCTTTTTTTTTTAAACTGAGTTGCAACATCTGCCTCTGTCAATAACCCCAAAATTAACGCATCGTTTCGAGCGCGAGTGCACGCTGTTTACTTGTTTAAATCATTTCCATAAATAGTGGAAAAACGAATATTGGTAAACACCTAGGCTACCCGTAAGGTGAATCAGTGCGACAGCTAAGCTGTGACGTCAGAGTCACTAAGGAGTCATTTCGTAAAAAAATGGAGTGAATGATCGATAAAGGTGCGATTGCGCACCATAGAGTCCGCCTAGACGTTTCGTATTAAACCGAGTAGCGTACCAGACGAAATTTCCATAGCTTTTTTTGGTCAAACGTATTGGACAAAAACGGAGACTGTTTTGTGGTAATTGAAGAACACTTTGAAAATCACGCGCCCAAGTTTGAAATCCAGGGAACGACGAAACTGCATGTGTTTGCAAGAGCCGTTCCCTGTCGTTGGTGCGACTGCCTGAACGTCTCAGGCAATGTCAATGTGCACAAAATAACACCACCTTTTGGTCACTGAAAAACACTTCCAAAATCGTGCACTCGAGTTTCGCGCGTGTAGCTCCAGCCAAATTCACGCCCGTGGTTTCGCCGGCTTAACATCCACCTATATTCGGTTACAGGTTAAGAAGGTAGCGGCAAATGCCCCTCAAAGGGAATCATATGTGCCTCCGCCACCTCCGTATCCAATAGCGTCCTATCGTTTCCGTGACGTCGCGGCCAACGCGCGAGGAGGGTCTTGCCTTTTGTACATATTTGCTTTATCTTTCGACTTTGACTTAGCATTGTGGAAGCCACGAGAGGGAAATTAGAGTTTTCCACCTCCGATGGAAACAAATACGACTTTCGGGGATTAACTTCCCCCTCCAATGGATACAAAGGCTGCTTTCAAGGGCTCGGTTCCCCCTCCAATGAATACAAAGGTCGCTTTCTTAAAAAGCGTGATCGGAGACATGTTGGAATCCATTGAAGCGGAACAGGGAGCGTTTCCAGTGAACTCTTCTTTCAACTGCGGAGAGATTTGAAACGGGCGCATCACGCTTGTGGGAGGAGCTTCTCCTATCTTCTTGACTTGTAACCGACTTTATAGCTTTATTAGTTTTATCGCCCGAAAACCTTTCTAGCACAATTAGCGAAAACGCTTTTCTTTTAATGTTTTCATTATCAGCAGTTTCACGCTAATGTTTCTACGTGCTGTCGTGGTGTCACGTGATGACGTATCGTCACGTGACGTCATGACATCATGTGACTCACACTGTCACCTGAAGTCATTATGTCGCTTGGCGTCGCTGTGCAACGTGACCTGATACGACACTGTCACGTCGTGGTGTTAGCCGGTGCCAGGTAACAGGGGGCGTAATGCGCGGCGTGACGTCAATGTGAAATCTTTTGGGGGAGTGCCGGAAATGACCCGCGTTGATATGGAGCGCGGTCGACGGCGCGAAACCAACGCAATATCTCACTAACTGCTACCGCAGTAAAACGCTCGCAGGTAGCTCTGCTCGAAGTCACTTTCTGCTGAATTTTCGTGTTTTCACATTTTTTTCTTTTTAGGACTGCATTAGGTTGATGACTTAATAGCGTTTAAATAACATAACATCACCGGCTCTAAAAAGACAAGGCCTGAAGAGATAAATGTGGGTAAACTCATTCTACAGCGCGGCGTCTTGCACTACGTACTCTTTGCCTTTTGTACCGGCAGATTGAAATATTTCACTACTAAATCGTGGTTCATAATATTTTATAATGTTTTCTAAACTTATCACAGCCTTACTTACTTTTTCTTATTTAATCATATCTAAAATCAGGCTCATATTTTCGTCTATAATTCTTCATCTCTAAAAACGGACGGAAAAATTTATTTTCAACGTCACCATGGACAATGGACGGAAACATTTATTGTCAACGTCGTCATTTTCCTGGAAGGTGGGGAACACCTTCCAGGAAAATGAATCGAACTTTGGGCTGACGCACCGTTATTCAACATTTACTCATACGTGCAAGAATGCTAGGCTAGCATTGTCCTGTCTTTTTGGTTCTGGACGCCACGAATCTCTTTGTTCAAGTGTCGCACCTCTACCCTAGCACAATGAATGCTGTTGTTGTTCAGGTTGGCGAACCAAGACTATATAAGTGGCCATACACTTTTCTATACTTCAAGGACATCCAGGATGGAGAAAATCTTTCGATGCCTGCGTCTCGCAGTGGCTGTGGCCGTTTTTACACAAAGCTTTGGTGAGCATACGTTTCTATTTAGTATAACTAGAAACACACAACAACAAAACTAACGACAAATAAGCGAACCTTTAAATTATTATATGGTTTCGAGCTTAGCTTTATTCCTGGGGTTTTTGCCAAGTTCACACTCGTCAACTGAACATTAAATGCTCTGTGCTGAGTAGTATTCGCATGTTAACCATTCCTTGCATAGAAATATATACTAAGCCCTTGTCAAAATTGTTCGCGCAATTTTTATTTAACAAGATATTTTTAGTTAGCGCACGTTCTTGCCTGTTAAAAAAAAAAAGAAAAAAAACATGGTACGCTTTTGTTCATGGAACTCTCGAGGTATTTGATTTGCAGTGATGTGATTCCTCTGAGCCGTTTTGGAGTACGTTTTGGAGCAGCGAAATATCCAATCTGGAGCACCAAAAATAACTTGTGGAGCCATTTTGATGAATTACCCGAAACTGGGGCGAGAAAACTAGAGGCAACAACCGTGGAGGAGAAAGGTGGACAAAGTCTCCAACTCAGCTAAACATTCATTCAGTAACATTCTCTTATATGGATCCTTCCCCCAAGGTGACCACCCTTTCCACACAAAAGGTTAAAACCTTTTTGAGCATTTGTGTAAATAGGGTTGCGACGTTCGGGGTTAGACTCCGTAACAGCAAAACAGAGATCGAGCGGCACATTGAATTCTTACATCGTTTTGCGTGATCATAATCGAAACTTCACGTGGCTATATTTTCAACCAGAAAGGGTTACTCTATTTCACTCTTACGCACTTAGTAATGGTGTTTCTCGCTACCGCTGCTAGCAGATTCTTCTTGGCATCTCAAGTACTCTTTCAGCGTCTGGAGCACGCCCTGGCTCTGCCCGCTCTTCCCATTGCCCAAACTCTCTCCTTACACGGCTCTGCGATCGGCCACTGCACTATACCAAATGGTTGACACACAAAAAAAGTAAATGCACTGTACCAAAACTTTTTTTTATATATATGAAAGGCTAGTGACGTCACTTCCCACGTCGCAAGGTGCTGTCACCGCTGCAGTTTGCGCAACTGTAATCTTTACCAGGAAGCGTTTAAGGTGAGTGCTACGTGCTCCGCACTGTTATCAGGAGCGCCTTATCATCGAATATGTGGTTCGGATGCTTGTTTTCTGCTTGCAAGCAGAAAACAAGCATCCGAACCACATATTTGATGATAAGGCGCTCCTTATTCGTTTAAGTAAAGAACATGTTCTTTACTTAAACGAATGTTGTGCTGTATGTTTTATGCGTAATATGCACTTTTCGCCTCGATCACTGAAGCTTTTTTGTTTTTCGTGAGGACGCCGACACGAAGAAATTCAATCTACGAGTCATATACAGCTTCGCTGTAAAATCGTTTTGTATTCTATCGTATATGCTAGCCAGCCTTATTTTTTACCGAAAGGTAGACTTGTTAAGCCGTCACGGCTTTTAGTTTTAATACATTCGACGCTTAGGTGCGTGTACGCCATACTGCCATGGAGGAGTGATGGAGGGTGCTGCGGCGAAGGAAAATACGCAACATCGCGAAACTTACACTGCAGTCCTCGTCTCACTGCAATGCACGAGAGCGCGGCTAGAAGCACACTTAATGAAGCTAACTAACCTAGCTGTCAGAACAATCACGAAAATTAGAAATATTCCGAGACCTCCGAGTGCCGTGAGCGTCTGACACGGAAATCAAATCGAGTAGTATGCTGTTTGGAGCGATAATCGGAAGTTCTGAAAATTAGCACAAGCCTACCGGAACACTCCGGCTGTGTAGCAGAGCCTGAGCGGTTATATATATTTAGTAAAACATAAATCGAAATTATGCTTTGGGGCAATGTTGCAGCAAGGGCATTACATGTTTTGCCGAAATGTAGCAAAATGTAGCAGGGTAAGCATTTCGGCGCAGGTTGGCGCAAATGGCGCAGAAATCACATCACTGGATTCGGAACATGTAAATGCCGTGCCGACATAAACCGACCAAGGCGGAATTTCTGTACATGAATGCTCGGTGAATTTAATATTTCTACGCTTTTGTGATGAGACTGCTCCACACATTTCCGCTGGAGCGTGATCGACTGCGTATCAACCGCTTGTAACCGCCTAAGGCCAAACAACTCGCTGGCAGACTGGCACATTCGCGCCATCATGTAGCCCTAGAGCATTTCCGGTGCGGGTAAAACTATACTCCGTCTCACTAAAACCGTACAGTACAGCCAAAGCTACAGGGGAGAAAGTATATTCCGACCTTTCCAGGAGGAGGGAAAGGAGGAATGGGTGGATCCCAGCCCTTCTGTCCCGTTGCTCCTTTCCCTCCACTTGAACAGGTTGGCATGTGCTCTCTCCCCTGTAGCCTTGGCTGTACTGCCCTGTTTTAGTGAGACTGAGTATAGACTGAACGCCTGCTGCATTTGCGAGAAAAAAATCAATTCATTACCTGTAAGAAATGGCCTCTGTAGTATTGTCATAATCATTTGAAGCTCACAGGTGAAATATTGATGAGTAATAAATGCTTTGATCCAAAATGTTTCCGGGCTTTTCGATTGGTGGCGTCCGTATGTTCCCCCGTCGTAGGCGAGCCAAAAGCGGTTGCAACGCAGTCGATCCACTCAAACGCAAAGGTGTGAACCAGCTTTTAGGGCGATAGGGTCGTGTCATTTCTGTGGCAGGATGCGTGCCCTTCCTCAGGAGCAGGTGAAATATGATACCCCTTGCCTTGAGCTCCTTGGCTTTGTCCAGCGCAAAGGCCTCACTTTGGTTAAGCTTATCGCTTCGCATTTTTTTTCTTTCTTTGAACAGCACATGCATGTACTCGTTAGCTTGATGCAAGCAAATAAGCGCTCGTAAAATAAGTCATTGTGCGTCTGCTTTCCCGCAAGGCCTCTGGTGGATCATCTGCCAAAATCTATAAAGTGCTAGCGAATAACGAGTGTGGGAATTAGGTTTGGTTGAGAAACACGATCGGTCTAAAGCAAGATTCATGTTTTCACGCATGTGATATACCGTCAGAAAGAGTAGGGCTTTGACCAACCATGCAATCGTACCTCTCCCTCCTTCTAATATGTCCAATCGTAGCCGTTCCCTCGCGTTGACGTAATACGCTACATCGGTATTAACCTACCCCATCCAAAGAGTATTATTTATTTATTTATTCAGAATACCGCGCATCGCCTTACAAAGGCGTTATTCCGAGGGATACATGAGAATACAAATACATGAGAAAAAGTACAAACGTGCAAAAAGTACAAAAAGCGCGAGGCCGAACATGAGATAATAATATCAGTTGTTTTTAGGTTTATGAAGCATCACTTAACACATGGTTGAAGAAAGAAGTGGCAGAAGTTGTAGAAATTAATTCCTCTGGCAGGGAATTCCAGGTTCTCGTTCTGCATGGAAAGAAGGAGTATTTAAACACATCCGTTCTACATTTATACTGTCGCACTTTTTTGGAGTGATCACGCCTTCCAGATGAGTAGTGAGCAGGCAGCATGTACTTAGATTTGTCAATGCCGAGATAACTATGAAAAATGCTGTTGTAAAATTTTAGCCGCATAGACCACTTTCTCTGGAATAATGTAATTAAATCAAGTCCTATTTTAAGTTGAGTCACACTTGGTCCAAAATTATAATTACCCGATATCAAACGAGCTGCTCTATATTGAACTGCCTCTAGCTGGTTGACAAGCTAGGCCTGGTGGCTGTCCCAGGAGACGCAGGCGTACTCTAAAATTGGTCTAATATAGGTTAGGTACAGTGTTCGTTTTGTAAACTTGGGACAATCGTTAAAGTTACGTCTAATAAATTTCAGCATTCTGGTCGCTTTTGTAGATGTGTTGTCCAAGTGTTTGGCCCACGAAAGGTTTTCTGTAAAACATACACCGAGGTGTTTGACTTCAGAAGCAGCTGGTAAAGAAATTTCTCTGATAACGTATTTGAAGGCGACAGGCTGTCTCTTGCGCGTGAAACATACATGATTACACTTGGTTATGTTCAAAATCATTCCGAATTGTTCACACCAGGCGGAGATACGACAGATATCTTTCTGCAAAGCCAAGCAATCTGACGTGCAGGAACAATCTGCAATTGTGCAGATTGTTCCTGCACGAATCGGATTTTTGAACCAAACGAATTTTTGTGGGTGGTCATTTTCTAAATTTCTTCCGCAGATCACGAATACTCTGTCAAGAATAAGTTTCGTGCACATTGTTTTAGAGCATAATTTGCTTAATCCCTGCCCAAATTATGCCTTTCTTGTATGCCATTGAAAAGTCTACGCTAGTAACACAGGCTTCATATAGTTACATCTTATTTGTTTGCGGTCATATGTAGAACATTGGGGAATACATTCTTGTTCTATTGATATCCTGGACACCAGTTTAACGTGCGCACTACTGTCATGAAAATGTGAAACCACTGGGAAGCGCAAATAAGCCTTCATAGTTTTTGTCACGAAGCGTTGACAAGGAGCTCCAGTAAAAGCCGTCAGGCTCCATTGGATACAACCAATTAGTGATCTACTATGTAGTTACTTTGACAGTGTTCTACGGTTTCTTGCTTTCCGTTCATTTGGTCACAATGAATGCCATCGATTTCACGTATATTCGTTAATGCTTCACCAGAAATAAATGAGAACAAACTACGTATGTACAAAAGTGAGCGTTTATAAGATCGTCTATTGATTTCACGTATACACCTGCCCCCACGCCCCCGTCAACGTTTTTGTACGCAGGTTATAACCAGGATCTTTATAATGTGTGCAACGATGCTCCACCTAAACCAGGCTATTGCAGCGGGCGCACACGCAAGTATACTTTCGACATATACCTCAAGCAATGCGTACCCGCCTATGTCTGCGGCTTTTCTGGCACTAAGAATATCTTCCACACTAAAAAACAATGCCAGCAAACCTGTCCGATTGGTACGTATCATATTCTACAAACTAATGGTTCCCCCTAGAAAATTTAAGAGCGGCAACATGGGTGCCTTAAAACATCTGACGAGTCTATTTTTTCAAAAGCTCGACTGAAATAATGGTCTATAGTCAAACTATGCGAACATAAAATTATCCGTAAAATGAACTAAAGCTAACTGCCTTGGCAACGCTCAAGCGTAAACAAACAGAGACAAGAAAATTTGTTTTTGAAAAACCAAGGCTCAAAACAACTTACTGAACAGTCTACTGTTAATGATTATTCTAAATAACTGCTCAAAAACATATAACGCTTTTACTGTTTACAGTAACTATACGAAAGAATTCACTGCTTAAGACTCAAAACTGTAAAAATATATATATAAAAAAAAATTCTGAGGGCACGCACTTTGTATGAGTTGTGAATGCGAAAGCATGAATGTCGCTCTGCCGCTCCCTTAGTTCGTCTGCGGCGTAATGGCGTGGACGGCCACGTTTCGCTACTGCCGAGATTGCGGCCGACGGCCGAGCGCGCGCTCTTGTAAAGTGGCCGCGTCGCTCTGAGCTCGGCCGTGCAGCCTATCCGGGGTGTGCCTAGGTGGGCTCTGCCAACACCTAGACCTAGACCGAAGGCCTTCGCATGGTCTCGTCTCCTTCTATGAAACGTCATCAGGTCGGATCGCGCTAACTCGGCTACTGGGCCCGAGCAAGACCTTCGACGCGCTAATTGGACACGAGCCCCGGCCGAAGACTGACTCAGCACTCCTGTCCAAATCTCACGCCTCGATCGATCTGACTCTGATGACGGGTGCGGAGGCCTTCTGTCTAGGTGGTGTTGGTTCTGCGGCCAGCCTCTCACCGGCGGCAGGGGCGCTGCGCCGCCATGGAGAGGGCTTCGCTGCGGGGTGGCGTTCCTTGGAACTACGCCGCGCAGCAGCCAATGGGAGCCTATCCATCAAATCGCGGCTACGGACGACAGGCTTCGCATCATTGGAACAGGAGATTTTAGGTGCCGTTTGGCGCGGCTTCAAAAGTTGATGACGCCCTTTCGCTCCATGGGATAGTTAATGCTTTCGCATTAAAACAAGTAAAACTTAATATTTCTCAAAAAGAAGCACTCGAAAGAACTTACCTTTTTCTGCCAGCGCTTACTATTGACTGTTTGATAGCCAGCGAGACTAGTGCCATCGTAAGGCTACGCTATTTTTAATCCTACCGACGAGCACTGCAGCGCTCTCTATTTATGCATTTCTTTAATATATATTAGAAATTAAACTAGAATATTTCCAATTTAATATTAACTGCAACTTTTTTTTTAGCTTCCAAACCCTCTAGATTTTGTCTTTCATATTCATATATGTATAAAACATGAAGGTTGTAGATGCGAAAAGGAGTGACACGGGAATTTTCGACAAGAATCAAAACCTTAACGAAATGTCGACTGCCCCTCTCATGTCTCTATAAGGTTTCTGTTTTAGTCAAATACGTATTAATTTTAAGATTCTATGCTCATTTTTTTAACTGTCATACAATCTTTATCCAAGTTTTCCAATTCCACACCTCGTTTACACTAAAAGTACAAGTCTTGGTTAATTTCCTACGCAAATGTAAAAAAAAAATAAAATAAAATAAAGTTTGATATTTTGTTTAATTGAATATTTGTAACATATAACGTTTATTACATTCCCAAAAGACGTCTTTTTAATAGGCATATTGACTAATGCCCGATATAATTATGCCGATTTAACATCTTGTTGTAAACTTCAACTTGCAACGCACATACTAGTTGCTCATGCGTTAGTTGTGGTCTAAATAATCAAGATTATTAGCAAATTCAACATGGTGTTAGACATTGTCGACCGCTGGATACGAGGCGCTAGGAGGGTAGGAGGTTATTTACAATATTTACAAATGGTGCATGCATGTGCAGCCGAGTCAGGAGTGCGCGGATGTTCTTCGTTTTTCATGTCGACTAATGAATGGCGCGGGCGTTTACAATAATATGGGCCTTCACACCAGTGGCGACAACTGCTATCCGGACCTAACAAAATACTTGAAATTTCTATTCGTTTTGTTGTTGTTTTTAGAGCGCAGCTCTTAGGCGCCCGTTTCCGGCTTGAGCGGCGTCGGCTTAACCGCGGAAATTTAGCGGAAAACTTTCCCCGCTAAATCTAGCGGAAAATTTTGCCCGCTAAATTTAGTGGAAAAATTTCCCCGCTAAATTTAGAGGAAAAAGTGGCCCGCTAAGTCTGGTGGAAAGCTTTCCCCGCTATATTTGCGGGGAATTTTTTCCGCTAAATTTAGCAGAAAATTTTCCCCTAAGTGGGGGCGAGCAAGAGAAGAGGAGGGGCATAGCCCGCTCTACGTACCTTCCCCTCCTCCTCCTCAAGAGCTGCGCTCTAATTCGGCGTTATAGGGAGTTGTGAACGGATTTCATTGTTTTCTTTTGATCATTCACATTGTCTACCATCCTCCAGATCAGTTCTGCACTTTGCCAAGACCATACACTTCGTGCAGCGCTGGCGCTACAATAATAACTACGTGGTATCTGAGTCCCTTCACCGGGACATGCATTGCGGCCACCGGCTGCGCTTTCATGGCGGCCGATTTTCGAACAAAAAGGGAATGCCAAGCGGCCTGCAGAAAACGTAAAATACGATTGAGCCTTTTATGCACGGACTCGTGTGTTTGGCAACCTTTTAGGAACATATCGACTCGCGCACAGTCTCCACCAATAAAAAAAGATCTAATCGGAGGGCGTGGCAGAGACGGCGGCAGGTGGGGGCGCTGCTTGCGCTTCTGGCATTTCCACATCGCAGCGAGTGAAAGGATGGATCTTCGTCAGTGAGCGCTGAATCAGTTTGGCTATTGTCTTAGCGCATTTCTCTCTCCTCGGACCAATACAGAATTGTCGGTCATACGCACCGCACACCCACCAGCCACCGTCTTCGAGTGTGTCTTTCATATTGGTGGAAACTGTCTATGTCTGCGCGTGCTGTGCGTGTGTGCGCGCATGCTTATGGCTGCGTGGTAGTGCCTGCGTGCCTCGTGCGCGAGTGCGTACGTGCGCGCGTGTGTGTGTGCTTTGGTATTCGCTCTTTCTCGCGTGAGTTGAAGCGTAATGGTGCCAGCATAGATTTATTACAATAAACGCTAGAGGCCCATCTGGTGCTAGTGTGCTGTTGCATTTTGAAGCAGACAGCAAGCAGTCAGAAATGCACTTCCGGTAATGCATTCCTATGGGAAAAAGCGAGTGCATTTTCTCTCTGCGCTCGACTATAAGAGCAAAAATCACGAATAATTTGTACGTACTAGGCACATTAGAACATTTTTCAGTCACGGAGACGAAATAATTGGTCAGTTACAGCATTTTTATTTGAAATTCGCGGTATGAAAAACGGTGTTAAGACCGCTTCGTACGTGTATTTATGTACACTGTCGGACGCTGTTAGCGCGAACACGTCGTCGATGGTGCCAAACGAACAAAGGACATGTGAAAACCAAGAGAGACGGCAAGAACTACGCAGTAACACTGGATAAGTAACTCCTTGTGCTTGCATACGATCAAAATAAATATAAAGTCACGTGATATAGTCCAATAGGCGATAAAAAAGTACAGCTTTATTCTTTCTGCTCATGAATATGTGCGAAGGTCCTTGTTCTGTGTTGAAATCATCACCCGCACACTCAAAATCTTTGCGAATAGGGGGAAGCCAGAGAGCAGGTGCGCGATAAAAACGGCCAAACATAGGAAATAATAAGAAAACACACCTTTTGTAGCCCACGTACTTTATTCTTTACGTTTCGAACGTTTTTCTTAACCACTCGTAAAGATGCACGACGGGGTCATTTTCATATAGTGAAAGGACAGCCATATTAGCAATATATAAGCACCAACGGAATGCTGGCGAACTTTGAACACACTTCGCATTCCTTTCGATCGTTTTTTTTTTGCTTAGAATCGTCGCTCGTTTCCACATACCTGCCAAGGAACAGAGGTTTGGGACTGAAATATAGCGAAGTTTAGCATCGTTCGTTCGTAAAGGAAAAACGCTGTATCTAAAGCAATTACACTTTCACAATATTAATGAAGGTACATACTATCCGGTACAACCGAAATAACAAAAGTTATTCATGTTATTTTCCGGCGACGAGACAAAATTCACGCGCGTTTTCCCATAGGAATACACAGGAAGACTGGAAAAGTCGACTGCATGCTGTCTGCTTCAATTTGCAACCGGAAGTCCCGTAGACACTAGCGCCAGCTGAGCCTCTAGCGTTTATTGTACTAACTCTATGGGTGCCAGCGCGCAAATAGCCCCGAACCACTTCCGGTTCTGAACTAGACGACCGGGTTTAGCCGTAATTTCGAAATCAAACATACCTCGCTATCTTCAGGAAATGGCAACCTTATAGCACTGTGCGACATAATTTCCTCTCACGATAAGAGAATAAGTAAAAAAATTAGGAGAGCTTCGGGAACCGAAAGTGTGACAGGGCTACTCAATAGATGGCGCCACTGAGTTTGTTGCCAAAGGCCGAATATGCTGATATAATCGCACTCACATTCATAGCTGATTACGTGCCATACAAGTCGAAGTTCCCAGACAATTATATATTTTATAAATTTGATAATTTAATATTTATTTGCGAGAGGTCGACGTACCCTAGGTGGCTCGCACGGCTAGCGATTAGCGACGTGCGCGAACAAAAACATCGCTGTGGTCGCAATGGACCTTTTCCGAGAAGCGTTCTGCGCACGCGCGAGCGCCCGATGCCAAGCGGTGGAAGTCGGCACGAAAAAATCGAGGAAATTCGGAATGAGGCTGTAAATCGACGAGTAGAACACGTAATTGCAGCATATATATAATTGTGTTACACAAAAAAAGAAAGTGGATGGAAAGAAAAACACGACGTTTGGGTGGACGCTACGGATTTCCTTCTTTAAAGTCGCGCTAGGCCTAGCTCGTTGCGTTGGGCACGCGACGCTGCTCAGAGAGCGAAGCAACTGGTAACGTAGCTCCCATTATCGATGGTAGCGCAGGTAGGTCACTTCCTTGATTTTTAGTTCGTGCAGTCACCGCCTGGTGCCGTCGGTATTTGGAAAAGGTCCATTCGCAATTGGCAAAACGTTCACTGTGACGTCTTTATCTGGACTAATTTCTATTTCAGCAACAAAAATCAACACAACGTTTAAGTGTCAACTTGTACGACGTAAACTTAAGAATGTGATGACGCCATTGTTATAACACGACTTTTGATAGGGATAATTCGTTCACACTTGGCATCAATAAAATACATAGTGCAAACTGAACAACGACGAAAAGGCACACATACGGCAGGACTGCTATTGTTACAGATACCGTAAAACTTGTAGATCAAAATGATGATAATTAGTCAAAGATTACATCACGTAATGTCACAGTGAGGAACATTCTGGTCGTGATGTCATAAGAGGGCGCCACCGAACCACCTCATCCCTAATACTCCGTTTCACTTTAAGTGCGAACGCAGTCGACGCTGCAGTTAGATCGAGTCAATGAAACAGCGCCAAAGGTTCCTTCTCAGGTCGCCCATCGTCTTTGTGCGTCGTCCATCGCCGGTTAAACCAATCACGCATGCTGAATCTACCATGATTCTCGGGTTCTTTCCCGAAAAATCGAAAAACCAGCTTTTTTTTTTTTTTTTTTTTTTTTTTTTTTTTTTTAGGACGCGGTAACGCGTCCTTAGAGACGCGTGTTAGGCACCGTGCCTGAAGTGATTCACGAGTCCTGCCACTGAAAGTAATTCGTGCAAACCAGAAAGACCAAACATAAATTATATAATATATGTGTTGCGTGAGGACCTTCCGATGATCATTGGGGCGCATGTTTTAAATTTCGGTTAACTAACGAATACAAGCTATCCAAGCAAATATAATAGAAAAGTGAACAAACAAAAAAACGTGGGCATTGACGAAAAAATTTAAAAAAATGTTCGACAAATATATCTTAATGAAGTGAAATGTTCCTTCTAATATTGCAGACACCGTGTGTTATCAGCCAAGAAACGAAGGAGAACCCCTTAAAAGAGCGGGAAGCATGTGGCATTTCAGTCGCAAAGAGCAACGTTGCATTAACACTACATCTATCGAAAACAATGGAAACAACTTCGAGAATAAAAAAGATTGCATGCAAACATGTCCTTACGGTAAATACCAACATTTAAATAACTCTTTGACATATTCGAGAAAAAAACAACAAAAAAACACAGTTATCGCTTTATGAGAAACATGTATAAACCTCTACAACTCCTGCTAATTCAAACATCGGTAACATTTCTCCTATGACTCTTCGAGCTCCGAGAGTGAATAGCAGATGAAAGATACTACCGCGAATCGTGCGAGGCAGATCTCCGATCACTGTGGTAGTCATATCAGTATAGCTTTGAAATCTAAGCGTTCAAACTATGCCTTTTTAAATTTAGTTTAACTAACGGAATTGAATTGATTATGTTGAGATGTTCAGATCGAGAACTGCTAGGTCATATTATGAGCTTTTACCATGCGTGGTTGAAATCCAGCAGCATTCAAAAACGAAGACTAACGAAAGATGAAAAGCTTCAGAGCGCCTCCAGACGCCCGAGAACGCGCTCAGGCAATAAAGCACACGATACGAGGGCGCACCACCAGTTCAGCTCCCAACATAGAGAGCCTATAGATATGAGAGAAGGAGCAACTATAATTATGAAGAGCATTTACTATTCAAAGGCGGACGCCTTCTTCGCAGATCAGTCGCCAGGTATCGCCTTCTTGCGTGGCGAAGATGAAAGGGGGCGGAGACGCCTAGACGCCATCAACGCTTTCGTCGTCTCGTCGCAGCTCGCATTGTAAACGCGGCTCGTAAACCACGCCACCCCGATCGAGATGTTGGAAACACGCTGAAATCTAAACACGCTTGTCCGACACGAGAGCGCTAACGGCGCCAATGGGTACTTTCGGTAGCTTCTAATGTTGCTAACGAAGTTGCTTTTCAGTTACATAACTGTGCTTAAGAAAGGGAAAACGTACAGCTACGGGAGAAACATTTTGGCGAAATATTTTGCATTTCTTCGTGTTAAGGCGATCGTTGATACGGTGCTCTAATCTACCTTGCTAAAATTTAACGTTTAAGATGCACAAATAGTCAACGCCTCGGCGCAATCGAACACTGCGTGTGATCTGATCGCATAGTTTCACCGTGTCTGTAGGAACGCCTTTTAAGGAGAATTAACGGTGCGGGACATTTTCTACGGTGAGAAATAAACATTGTTACATTTTTACGCACAGGAGGACGTTTACAGGAATGCAGACTCCCTAAAAATGAAGGCACCTACTGTCTGGAAAAACGCATACCTTCCTTCCGGTATTACCACGATACTAAAAGTGGCAGGTGCAGTCGTTTCTTGTATAAGGGCTGCCAGAAAAACGCCAATAACTACTTAACAAAGCGTGCGTGTGAAGCAACTTGTCAGGATTTAAGGTAAGCTTTACTTCAAGATATTTAAGCTATTCGAATATAACCTGCAGTTTTTCAGTGAACTCCCGTAGACGAATCTTTATATACATGCAAGAGACATATACAAAAAAATGCACGATTAATTATCCCTTTTATCTCACGATATGCACCACGTTTTCTGAGCATTGCAATATCAGCGGAACTATATGGCGTCTATCATGATCTATCTCATCCGCCAATAAGAGTACTGAATTCAAGTGCGCTAAATACAAAAGATCGTCAAACGATCACGAACACTAACTGACGGATAAAATTGACGAAATATATACATCGAGAAAAACTAAATATTTATTATGCGTCTGTATCAGGTACTTGCCATTCCTTATTTCCAATTTAAAACTTTATTGAAATAAGGCTATACAGTATACAGGGCGCTTCACCCTACTGCGAATAATCTTAATCCTGAAAAGTCTCTTTAAGAAGAAATGTGATTTTTCTAGGATTACATTATTCAACGCAACGGACGACAGATTAAGGAGTGCAAAGTGCCGAGCTAATTATTTACACACCACTAACTAACTTTCCGTTAAACGTTTGCCTTGGCTGGCTTACTTCCTCCAATTTATGATATTCACTGCTCGTCGTCAAAGTATGCCATCGATGCTGCTATAATTTAGCCAGCTATATTCTGCTTACGCTATCCTCTTGCATGATGGGAACCGTGAGGAGACTCAGATACCGAAACTAACCGAAACTAGACGCAAAACCATGGACGGAATTCATACCCAGAAGTGACGTCCGTATTCGCCACGGGCGCCGGTGGCGAGCCGTTGCAATTCGGCCTGCAATGATGAGTCACGCGTAGCGCTGAAGCTTTTTTCTTTTTTTTTCAGCGATAGTTAAGCGTTCTTCCGCCCACTTCGAAATTATGATGTGGGGTTTCGGTCGTTCATATCACCACATTCTTGAAAAAGAAAAAAAAAAAAAATTTACACAGTCTGGTTTTCTGGGTATCCGATCCCGGGTACCTTGGTTTCAGAACGAGCGCGCGCCACCACAAGGCCACACAAGCGATACTTTAACGGACCACGTAAGAAACCAAATGGGTTGAGGACAGCCGCACATATGAGTCTTGCGCATCGTCTGCTAGATCACCGCAGTTGTGGTGACGTCGGATCACGCCACTTGAATCTTACGCTTTCAATTAGAGAAGATATTTATCTATTAAGCTTGTGCAGGTTTGCAACATGGCCAATGTAGAAACTTTTTGTACGGTTACATTCTGCACTGGTAATTGTGAAGTGCCTATCCTTTCCGTTCACGCCTAAGCTGACAAAGTGTCTATACACTCCGTTCTCGCCCTAAAGGTCTCTTTATACCTCAACCTTGACGAACGCAACGCGCGCCAGCGCAAACCAACGTTTCTCTACCGCTGCGCTACGTCACGCCGCGCCGAGAAGCGTCGAACGACCATGTTTACAGTCCAACGCGGTCCAGCGCGCAACGACGAATGCCTCACTTCGAGCAGGCGCGTCCCCATGGCAACCGCATAGTCTCTACACCGTATTTCCGCTTCCTGGTCGGTATACCAAACATGCAATCACGCAATCGCTCGGTCAGAGCTCTGCGATCGATGTGGTTTGTCCATGCAGTGTAGTCAAGCTTCAAAACAGCGATTCGGAACATTGGTTAGCAGTTCGAAAACAAAATGATGCGGTATATCGAGTGCAAATCATTTATTTTCTTCAAAATGTCATACAAATGTTGTCGAAAAAAAAAAAAAAAAGAAAAACAAAGAAATCTGAATGTCGCGTGCGTAGAAAGCTAGATGCTTCGACAAGTTCACCGGGGTCGAGCCAAACGACTTCGGTGATTCCGCCGGGATGCTTCGATGAAATCTATGCACTCGACATTTCACGACGACCTCTTTCTGACAGATTGAAAGTGTGTCATCATAGTAGACTTTCACGTTGACTCAAGTAACTGACACCGAAAAAGAGCGGACGATGCCTAAATTATGCAATGTACATGTTTGAAATTGTAGTGCTTTACGGAGCCCATGCAAAAAAGAACAGGATTCAGTTCCCTTTTCCCCGTGCACGACTACTGTCGTTTATAAGCTGGGACACCCTAATTGAAAATTTCTGGCCGACGAAGTACAGTTCAGATGTTTCACTGGGTCGGCCTTTTCCGTACATTCGACGGCGCTGTTTCGATCGGGAACGGCTGCCGGTGCGTGCGTCTATAGCATATGATCATATAAGCACACACATTAGGTCACGCTTAATTCTAATTAACCCTACCTTTGACGCGTCAGCGAGCTTCCAGCTTTGGCCGGCTCCCCAACACCACGGCCCACCAGCACCGGCTCGTTCGGTCTATAGGCTCCAGAGCAGTCCACGCCCACGCAAACGCACGCCCAATCGAACGCACGAACGTTAAACACGCACACAAACACGGGAACACGACAACGGGACACGACACACGGCAAGGGCGGCAGCTTCAGATCCTGGAACGGAGCGCCTTGCACACCCCGACCGGCCCCGTCGGCCCCGACAACCGGATTCTGGGCTTCTGGGATAGCCACCGTCGTCGCCCTGCATGCGCTCGTCGACGACGCGAATAGAGCATATGCTCTATTCCGTTATCAGCTACGCCGAGTCGTGCTGGAAAAAGCTGCGCGTCACGTTGCGCATGACGACGGAGTAGAGAACTTTCCAAAAAAGGGCTCCTGGCCGGTTCTCTTCTTCAGTGTTCGTGCGTAGAGCGCGTAATTTGCTCGCTTTCCGAAGCGACGAACATCCGCGTGCTGGACTGAGGAGATCGCACGCTGGACTGAGGACTTGTAAATATTGGAATGGCGTTACCCCCGTTCGCAGCCAGCGTCGACCAACGCGATCGGACGCGTGCGTTCGTCGACGTAGACGACGGAGTGTAAACAACCCTTACGCTGACAATGTGGTTAGAGCCACGCGCTCGCCGGGCAAATGAACCTCCTCCCTTTCATCACCCAACCACGCAATTTGCGCGTGGGTATGGCCGGAGACCGTGATCAGGTGGCGGAAGGCAGTTGCAGCACTGGCCCAACGAGGGCGTAGCTTCCACCTCACTGTCAGCTTAGCGGTGAACATCCTCATAACGACGCTGAATAGTTCTTAATTCTTGACTAACCCACATACAAGGTGGTTTACTTTAATTCAGACAAGTTATTTTATTTTATTTTTAAGTAGTTTAGAGTTAGACGAGTGCCGTCTTCACCGTGTATTTATCAGGCTCGGTGGACATTATATCAGGGAATAATCGACAACCTAAGTTGACTAATTAACTCAAATTTGTTAATTAACTTTTTGTTATTCATTTCAGGGGTGAAAGTGCAGTGTTGGGATAATTACCGTTGGAGTACAAGTCAATTTAAAGATTTTGCAAGAAGGTAATAATTTTTTTAGGTATTAATAGATCAATGTTCGCGTTGTTCCGCCCAATTTAATAATAGTGCGCAGATAGAGCAATTCAAGTCCTGCCCAGAATTACTTTTCGAATACTGATGCAGTCGTTTGGGCCATGTCATCACCTGTGTCGTTGAGGCACCAAGGATACGTTGCCGAGGTATTGATGACCTCATTGAAACCACGACGTCATTCTTTCAAGCGTCATTGTGGGCGCTCCAGGGCTTATGACGCTCTTTTTTGACGCAATTTTTAAATTGGGAAAAGAAACCGCGAAAAATTGATCGATTAATATATTAAAAAAAACACATTATTTTTCGCATTTAGATATTTTTTAATGGACTTCTTCCAAAACCGACGCGCCCCATCGCGGCGAAATACCACGCAGTGCACTCTGGGAACTAGTTGGCCACTCAGTTTCGGTTTCGACTGAGCAGCTTCATCTCATGCTATCACGCCGCGACAGAACGCGCTGCTTGCCTTTTCGATTATCTGACTTTTCACGAACGTACAATACACTCATACTCGAGCGATACAAAACGAAGACCGGGGCACTTTCCTTGGTTCCCGAAACACCGGATATTGTGCGTGCGTATGCGAACGTAGTAAGTCGTGGCTTAGTCACCTCACCCCACGAGTGCATCTTTGAGCTCAATGTCAGTAATCCCGTCTAGTACCAGTGAACTACAACTGAAATTTGTTCGTCTGGAGCCTTACACGCATTTTGTTTGCCAAACGTCCGCTTCTTGTTACTTCATTGGGCGAAAAGCAAGCCGCACCCTCACAGGGTATCAAAGTTGAGGCCAGCGTTTACGCATGAACTTTCAAGGAAACGCAATAAATTCGACCTCACTACTGCACAAATATTACTATGATGTTTTCCTCGTGTCATCATATATCTCCCACTCAAATTTTATGCTGATAGAAGATTAACTTTTCGCAAACGCTGAGATCGGCTAGCTACGACGGAGGCCCTAACAAGCGTCTCCTACTCCTCGCTAAGCCTTTTAGGACGAGCTTTTACTGACGCCCAAGATCTGTGCCGGGAACGGTGTGTCTGAAATTATCTCGGCATACTCAGGCAGGAAGAAAGCAAACACATAACAAATATTATGGCCATTAGCAACCGTCAAATGCGCTTTGAATTCGTTCGAGCACTTGTGTGAAGAATGTCGCACCGTGCGCCGGACGGGCATGAACCCCAATGCGATGCGCATAGGGGTTCATGCCCGTCTGACGCACTTCCGGTGAACGGTGCGACATTCTTCACACAAGTGCTCGACTTTTGCATTCTTAAAACGGTCTGTATGCGCGAATGTGCCTATATGATTGCAGGATAACTTTATGTGCTTACGCGATGTTGAATATTAGTGAAATGCAAGCGGGTGGGGACTTCACTTCGTGCAGTGCTGTGGGTCAGTACAGATAAGAGATAAGAAGTGTGTTAAAATTGAGCTTTTCAATGGCACCTCCGAGTTTTACTTCACATACTCAGGCACATTAAGAAAAGCAGTAATTGCAAAAAGAAATATTTCGTCTATGGACGCACGAAGCAAACAAACTTCCTGATCAACAACACTAA